ATCTGTCTTTGCTCTGTTAAATTCTTCATTGCTCTCGATGCTACAGTGACTGATAAAACAGTACCATTCTCAGAAGCGTTGCATGAAATGTTGCTGACCATGCAGTTTTCAGTCTGAACACAAATGAGGCTTTCTCTAATGAAGGAGAGGACATTTTTCTTGGGATCAGGTAAAGAGCATCCGGTGAAGTCTGGCCCGTACCTCAATCTCAGCTTGATCGGCTTCGGGGAAACATCTGAAAGTTTTAGATTCAGTCCTGATGTTACCAAAAATATGTGCGCTATCTTAATAAAACAAATATTTTAATAAAACAAATATTTATTTTTACGGCACAATCAAACAATATCAATAATAAATAAATCAGGGGAGGTTTGAAGAGGTTTCAAGTGCCGAAGGCCACTGCTTATCTTTAGGATTTGAGAGTGACCTGTGCTTGAAACCCCCTCAACCATCCACTACGTCAATATACTAATTACAGTATACAAATATAGAAAAATATAATAATCTTAAATTACTTATTGGTTTAGTTTGGTGACAAAGGAGAGCCCAGTTGAGTTTTAGTTTAGCTTTAGGTTTTGAATCACAGTTTAAAAGGTTAGCCATGTTTCATGGCAGAGAGAGATATCATGTGTGCATAGCCGTACCGGATGTAGAGTTTGAGATATAATATAGATTAGTTACCATGTATTAGGGTCATCTCGATTTTGGAGGGATAGCAAGTGCTTTTTAAGGTTAGATTTAATAACACCTGACGAAGCTGATAAGTCTGAATTCTTGGAAGAACCCGGGATTATCAACCCATCTACATTAGCATCACATATTTCGAATACATAGGGGCTGAGGTCATTCCAAATTTTCGTAGAGGTGTACAAAAAGTTCTGTTGGGAGATATCTAACCTCAGTAATGGGACAATCAGACGAAGTTTTTCATTTCTAGGACAGAACTTGAAAAGATCTTTAATCGACTGGGGGACATCAAATTTAAGAATTTTGAATAATTCCATAAATGTATGGTACATGTGCAGATTCTCCAGGTTCATAATTTTCTGCTCGGTGAATAGCGGTTTAGTGTGTTCAAGACAGTAGTTCTTGCTAGCCATATGTTCGTTATAAGTTCTTGAACGTGCACAGGTTAAATAGTATTCTTTATGATCAAAATTGGGAATGTTACCAAATAGCAGTCTTATACATCGTTTTTGAATTGCAAAGATTTTATTCAGCTTATGTTTAGGGATCCCACCCCAGCAACTTATACAATAGCTAAGATGTGACATAAAAAGAACATTGTATAGTTTCAAATATTCAGATTTGGGAATGAATTTGCAAATTCTCTTAATCGATACAATACTGGAGTTCAGCTTTAAAGATAAATGATTAAGATGTGGTTCCCAGCTTAGCTGTTCGTCTATTATCACCCCAAGAAACTTTGTACATTGAACTTTTTCTAGCTTTTTGCCATCTATTAAAATCGTTAGATTCCTGTTAAAGGGCCGTGTTCTGGCACAGGTCTGTGTTGCTCTTGACAAACCTGGCTGAAAATGCATATAACAACTTTTCCCTGCATTTATATGTAACTTGTTAGACTCCATATAGTTACTGACTTGTTTCATTACATGATTAGCTTTTTCAAAAGCTTCCTGTGCTGAACTACCTATCACAAAAATATTTGTATCATCAGCAAACAGGACGAATTCAGCCAAGCTTGAGGAGCTCACAATATCATTTATATAAATCAGAAATAGTAGAGGTCCTAACACTGACCCCTGGGGTACACCATACTCAACTGAACACTTGTCCGACTTTTCAGTTTGAAAATAAGTTACTTGGCTACGGTTTGTTAGATAGCTAGCAAGAGTTTTTAGTGCAATACCTCTTACTCCATAGTGTTCAAGTTTATGCAGGAGTTTATCGTGCTCAATTGTGTCAAATGCTTTACTTAGATCAATAAATATTCCAATTACATGATTTTTCTGTTCAATCTCATTAAATATTTTATTGACAGAATAGTTTACGGCATGAGATGTTGAGTGTTGTTTTCTAAAACCAAATTGTCGATCATAAATCACGTTCATAGCACTGAGGTAATTATATAACCTATTATAGATTATTTTTTCAAGTATTTTTCCAAATATCGGTAATGTAGAAACAGGTCGATAGTTATCAAGGCATCGTGAGTCTCCTTTTTTATAAATTGGTGTAATAGAGCCCGTTTTAAGCTTGTTTGGAAAGACCCCATTGTCCAAGAACCAATTAAAGAATCTAGAGATATGACCAGACAGATAATTTACACTCTTTTTTAAGACTTTAACAGAGATATCACTTGCCTTCCCATTTTCAAGGCTACCAATGATTTTACTTATCTCTTCCTCGTCACAGGGGCTGAGAAAAAAAGAGTTCACTATTCTTTCTCTGCCCTTGAGGTATTGTTTAAACTTCGTCTTAATAAAATTGCCATCAGTTACCGTACGAGATGGTACAGAAGATTGAACTTTTGAATTAAGATTACGAGCAATAGACGAGAAGTAGATGTTAAATCCGTTAGCAATCTCACGGCGTTCAGTTACAATTCGACCATCAATTAAGAATGATGCTTTTATATCTTTTTTAGATTTACCCCTGAGTTCGTTAATCAATTCCCAGGTTTTTTTTAATATTTCCTTTAGCAAGTTCAAATTTTTTTCCATAGTGGGCTTTTTTCGCAGATTTTATAGCTTTGTTTAGGATAGAACGATACTCCTTATACTTAAGATATAAAGTTTCCTCACCTAATGGGTTGATTTTGGTACACGAAGCCTTCCATCGCTTGTAGTGAAAGCCTTTAGTAAACACAGATTTAATTAACGCAGAAGTGATCCATGGATTCATCAATCTATTGCGAATCTTGATTCTGATAACAGCTTACACAGCTTGATAGGCAAAGTTATTTCACTGCGATCATTGATTTGCAATGTCAAATTGGTCATGTTATTTAAAACTTACAAGCACATCTAATGTGAGGAGGAGATGCTCTATCACGATGATAATGATTCCAGTACCACTCTCTGCTTCTTGTATTGTAGGAGCACCTAGGTATCACGTAATTTTTTAGTAATCATCATTATTATCAATTTGTTTTACCACCTCCTAATATTAAGTTTATCTAAATCTATCGACCAAAAACACCAGTATTTCTAGATTGACTAGAGCTATAATAAGATAACGTGAATAGTTAATAGGTAATTAGCTTATGCAGTGAGTTGAAATAACCTAGCAACTAGTATAAGAGTTAAAAAAATACATAATATTTAAATCAACCTGCATCGGATCCACAAAAATAATTGAATTTGGTAATATAAATAACACAAATAATTCTACCTCATTTCCCTAAAGCGTTTATCAAGAAGAAAGAAGCCCCTGTCCTCATGACAGTGTGCCCTGACAACCACCTCACCATCATCCTGCCAGACAGACAAGTTTCCTGCTGTCACGTGGTGTCCAAGTGTGGGGTGTGAAGCTATGGGATCTGGGAGTTCCACACAACTTCCGTAGTCGTCCAGTTGTGCGGCAGCCTGGCCCTAAAATTTAAATATTTCAATACTGGTGAGACGACTAGAGCTGAGGCAACCTGGTACAGAAATTAAAATGTTTGAGGCAGATCATTAGAAATAGCGGGTAATGGCGGGTTTTTGTTAGTGTAAGCTAAACTTGTTCCACCTCCCCGCAATTAATATTGTCTCTTTAACTGTGACCGTGGGTTCATGTTCAGCATTTAACTGCAAGGCGGCACTCAAAAGGCGGCACTCAAAAGGCGGCACTCAAACACAAAATAGACGTTACGTACCATGAACCATATTATCAAGAATTTCCAATTCGCCATCAATATTAACTATTTAATGTGACTGGCAGCCAAAGAGAAAACACAAATAAATTGTAAACCTTAGGAAGTAAAAAAGAAAATAAAAACTCTCTCCTGGTGCTTTTTTCCTTCAATCACTATCAAGTGACTACATCTCAATACTCATTCACTTCTGCCTGGAGCTCTGGCTACTCACATTAATGTTTCAAGTTAGTTACATGCTTTATCCGATGGATTTTATTGCATTTATCGGCAAATACTAGATATAGAAATTGTCATCCCTCTCTTCTCTTCTACTTACTTCAGCGGAGAAGCGTAAAAAGGAAGTAAACGCTCTCTCTAGTTCTCCTGGTGATCTTTTTCCCTCATTCCTGACTATCACGTGACTTTATCTTAATATTTATTATACCATGATAACTTTAACTAAACATTACTTCCCCTCCATTCTCCAACCCCAGACTTCTGCCTGGAGCTACTCACAGTAATGTTTCAAGTTAGCTACATGCTTTATCTGAGCTTACTGCATAATAATATATAACTTATATTATGTTGGATACGTGTTGGGTACGGAATGAGAATACACATTATTGCTCAATAAAGTTTTGTAATTTGATATTGACATAGGTTTAATATAAGGCAGTTTAATATAAGGCAGTATTGGGATTGTCATTGTATTTAAGATCACGCACCGAAAAGGCGAAAATGCTTTCATACCAAGAAAATTTCACTTTTTTCTCAATGTGCTTAATGGTAATTTTAAGGTTAATTAATCATGTTGCGACATTCGATGTCATATTCGTATTTTAAATAAATGTAACTCATTTTTAGTGTTGTAATTAGTTTAAAATTTAGTTTTTAAGATTTTTAACAGATGTTTAAGCCTTTTGAAGAGTCTTTTTGATGTATTTGACAGTTACTGGCATATACATATGTATAATATAGCTTTTTTCATTTTACCACTATAAGTGGGCGTTCACATATATTACGTAATCAGCCGAGGGGGGAGGGGTTTCCAAATGATTACGCTAGTGTAATTTTGACACAATAACTATGTGTGAAACTGATAATGGACGGGGGAGAGGGGTTAAAAATTGTCCAAAAAGTGATAGCATAATACACAAACAACCCCTAACTACTATGGTTAACTAACTAAAACCCCAGTCAGCTATGTTGAAATTGTTTGATCTGAAGAAGCCTGGTGCAAATAACGGGGGAGCAGGAGCAAGTTCTCCCAGGACCGGACCTTCTGCTGCATACCTGAGATTACAAAAAGGTGAGTGTACAATGTACATACAGGTACCTGGTACATACAAGTACATTCAATGCAAATGTACATACAATGTACATAATATGTACATACAATGTACATACGTCATACAAGTACTTGGAACTCAGATTTAATGTACAAACAAATACTGTAAAACTCTGATTAACGGCGCCCCAATTTACTGCAAACCCCGATTTACCGCGGCCGTTTCTTTTCCCCATTATGTGGTAAACATCTATAATATCATCAACCAAAACCCCGATTTACCGCGAACACTGATCTACACATGTGCCTAAATAAATGTAACAGTTTTGTTGTAATTAGCTTAAATAAGTTAAATTAACAAGTAAATTAATTTACAGATTTGGCAGACTTATCCCTCCCTCACACTTGTAAGACAGAGTTCCCAGATCCCAACAACCTTCTCAACTTCAAACTCTATATCATGCCCGATGAGGTTGGTTCCTTTTATAATAATTTTAATCATTAATTAAATAGTAAATTTTAGTAATTAATAGTTTAGCGCAAATCTTCTTTAATAACTACCATTTAAATCTACCCCAATTGATGAGGAATGTGGATTCTGGTGGGGAGGTGAGGTATTTATATTTGTTTACCTGGAAGTTGACATGTTTGTAGTTTTTTGTAGTTTTGTTACGTGTTGAAAAACAGAGCTCCCTTATCTCTGTTTAATCGGAAATTTTAACTGCCACTGCACTGCTACTGCACGGTGTTTGTACTTTACCTTTGTACATCTATACAAGTACAAATACACAATTGCAATGGAAAAGTCTGCTCATAACTCTGCAAAGAATCTTCTCGTCAACGGTTTATGTAAAGCTTGTTCGAATGATGAGGTTGTCAAAAGTACCGACATTGTACAGTGTTTTTGGTGTAAGGACAGTTTTCATGCTATCAACTGTGATGAAACTTGCAATGTCAGTGCGCCCACGGTTTTTACTGCTCACCTGTCTCATGCTGTGAACAACACTTCATCTTATGCTAAACGATTTGGTCGCTTTCTATTTATCTGTAATGATTGTAGTACTGCTGAGGAGGAAAAGAGGGCTGCTACTACCGTAGATCGGGTAGGATTGTTAGATAATAAAATAGATGCCATAAATTTGGAGTTCAAGGAAGAGATGTCTGAACTTAAAACCTTGCTGAAGGAACAACTGTCCCAGAAACCTGAGAGAGCTCAAGAGCGATCCTCAGATCAGGTTGATTTTATGAAACAATTTGCTGAACAGTTTTCATCTTTAAAAGAAGACCTCACGAAAAATATCAATGATGTTATTGACAATAAAGTAAACACTGTTGTAACAAAATCTGGTACTGTTTCTCATACAAAGGACGTTCTCTATTCCAGCTTGTTTACCGACTCAAACAGTTCCACACCATCTGCTCAACCACCACATGTTCCAATTGCTCCAACACGTACACAACCTTCATCACCCGAGATTCTAATTCTGTCCCCGAAAGAAGAACAATCGGTAAATGCTGCAACAATGACGAATGTGAAAAAATTTGCTACTGATAAATTAAAGAGCAGTCAAGTAATATTTCTCAGATGTAATGAAAACAACAAGAAAGTTTCAATTGGCTTCCCTAATGCTGAAATTCGTGATAAGGCTACTTCACTTCTCAATGATGGAAATACCTTAGATTCGTATGGATATCAGTCTAAGAATGGCAACAAAATGCTGCCAAAAGTTACTATTTATGGTGTTTCTTCTGAAGTTCTTGACGATATAGACACTACAGCTGTAGGGAATGATGCCGATAAACTTAGGGATCTTGAAAAGAACCACTTAGTCGCCCAAATTGTGGAGAAAAACTCGTCCATCAAAGATTTGTATGAAGCAGGGCACACTATCAGTATTGTCTATCTCAATAAGATAAAACGTTTCACCAACGATAAGCAGGAACGCATAGAGCTCACTATTGGAATCAAACTATCACCATCTGTCTATAGAGTCCTCTTTAACCAACAACAAGGATCTCTCTATTTAGGTAGTCGCAGATACAAAGTAACTGATCGCTTCTACATCAAACAGTGCTATCATTGTCAAATGATTGGACACACTTCTGTTGACTGTAATGAAGTCAAAACAAATAAACATCCTACCTGCATGTACTGTATGGGAAGTCACCGGTCTTCAGCATGCCAATTTAAGCAGAAGAAGGACAAACATGCCTGTGCTCGATGTTTGGCTTCAACACACACTAATGATGCCGAGAATTCAAGAACACATAATGCGGCAGCTTACGATTGTCCTGTGTTGGTAAGAGAAACTAAACGTATTGCTGCTAACACTGACTTTATTTCAAAAAACGTAATGTGAAATTAGGTGCTAATCGACAGAAATCACAGCTTTCTATTGGTTGTTTCAACGCAAGGTCTCTATGCAACAAAACTTGTGGCGTACTAGAAATGCTTAAAGATAACTCGATTTCTATCTGTTGTATCACGGAAACTTGGCTAAAAACTAATGATCGGGCAAAGTTTGCCGAAATCCGTGATTTTGGGTTCGATATTATCAGTGCCCCTCGAAGAGGTAGGGGAGGTGGTGTTGGTTTTCTCTTCAACCCCAAAATGATATCGCCTGTACGCAATGATGTTACTAAATATTCATCTTTTGAAGTACTTGAATGTGTCATTAAAACTGCTGGTGAGGTTATCAGGCTATGTGTAGTTTATCGCAGCACTCAGGCCAAAGCGAAATATGATGAAACAAAAATATCTAAGTTTATGGATGACTTTGATGGATACCTGGACAATCTTCTGCTTAAAACTGGATCTCCAATTATTTGTGGTGACTTTAATTTCCATGTTGAAGACCTGAACAATAATGTTGCCCAGAACTTTATTGCTCTTTGTGAGAGCAAAGGCTTCCTTCAGCATGTCGACTCTCCTACTCACATCTCCGGCGGGACACTGGACTTGTTATTTACTCTAGGCTGTGTAAGTGACTCATTGTCTGTAACAGATATGATGGTAGAGACAAGCACTGGAACCAGCTCTGATCACTATCTAGTAAGTTTTCAGGTCCCAGTCACATTCGATCTTCATAAAGCTCGTACATATGAAGAAAAAGATGTCAGAGAGCTAAGCAAAATTGACATCGATAAGTTCAGGGAAGATCTGTTTTGTTCAGAGCTTAACCTTTCTGAATATCAATCCTTAGACGAGACTGTGAACCTTTATCAAAATGTCCTTGAACAGGTGCTAGACAAACATGCCCCACTTATTACGAAACGATTTACTGCTGAAAAGTCTGATTTTTGGGATAATAAATGTCAAATTGCTGTCAGAGAGAGGAGAAGGGCAAAACGAAAAGCCAGAAAGTATCCAGAGAATGATGAGTTTAAAACTACTCATTTTGAAAAATGTGTTGACGCAGAAATCACTATCAATCGAGCTAGGGATGGCTACTATGATAAACAGCTCAGTTCTTGCAAAGGAGACTCGAAAGGGACCTATAAAGTCATAAATAAACTTTTAGATAAGGAATATGGCTCCAACAAATTGCCAAATGGTGAAGATATCGAAGTGGCTGCCAAACTCAAGACTTTCTTCGATCAAAAAGTAAAAACCATTTACTCTAATATTGAGAAGGAAATTCAAAACACTTCCCTAAACGGTCAAGGTACCAAGGACTCTACTTCGATAGATAATGCAAAGTGTATACTTAATCAGTTTAAGGAAGTCTCATTACCAGACCTTGAAACCTTAATTAAGAGTCTTCCCAATAAATCAAGCGTACTCGATGTCATACCAATGTGGCTCTTCAAGAACTGCTTACCCGAGCTTCTCCCAATCATTCATTACATCGTGAATGAATCACTAAGAGTTGGAAAGTTTCCATCTGCCCTAAAAGAAGCATCTATAAGGCCTGGACTCAAGAAACCTACCTTAGATGTTGATGAGCTGAAAAACTATCGACCGATTAGCAATCTAACTTATCTGTCCAAAATACTAGAAAAAGTAGTTCATTGCCAATTAAATGAATATGCTGATGTCAACAACCTGTTTTCCCCATATCAATCAGGCTATAGAAAATTCCATAGTTGTGAAACTGCAGTTACCAAAATACATAATGATATTCTAATGATGATTGACAGCAAATCGAATGTTGTGCTTCTACTCTTAGATCTATCAGCTGCTTTCGACACCATAAACCATAACCTCCTTCTTACGAAACTCAAGAATGCGTATGGTATTACAGAACTAGCACTCAGCTGGTTACAATGTTACCTTAATAATCGCACATTCAAGGTTAAAGTAAAAAAAGCCACATCTTCTGAAGGCTATCTGGATATTGGTGTACCTCAAGGATCCATTTTAGGACCACTACTGTTCATATTGTATACCAGAGATCTTGAAGAAATTGTCACAAAATATGGTTTCTCGATACATTTGTATGCAGATGACACACAGGTGTACTTTACTTTTGATGTTCACAGTTCTAATCCTGATTTAACAGCTGTGAAAAATTGCTTTCTGGAGATAAAGCAATGGATGACAGTTAACTTCCTAAAACTGAATGATGAAAAAACAGAGTTCATTGATATAGGACCATATGTCAGCCCAATCCAGACAATGGATTTAGGAGACCTCTCAATCTGCCCTGTTAGCAAGGCCAAGAACCTGGGATTCCTTTTCGATCACCAAATGAATCTGGACTCTCAAATAAATGCTGTCTCCAAAGTATGTTATTTGAATCAAAGGGACTTAGCAAGAATCGGTTCGAAGCTTTCCCATGACCTAAAAGTTCAGCTAGTTCACTCCAATATCCTCTGTTTCATAGACTACTGCAACTCAGTCTATTATGGACTAACAGAAAAGAATCTTCATAAGCTACAAAAGATACAGAACAATGCTGCTAGATTTATCTTTGGTCTTTACGGAAAAAAGATACGTGAACCTATCATGCCTTACCTCAAAAAGCTCCACTTTCTGCCTGTTCGGTTCAGAATTAAGTTCAAAATATCACTTCTGGTCTTCAAGTGTCTTAATAACATAGCCCCTCAGTACTTACAAGGACACGTCAATCTAAGGGAAGTACGAAGACAAAGTTCCAGACTAGATGATGACTTTTATTTGTTGAAAGTTCCTCCTGCTCCTCATTTCAGACGAACAGATGCTGCATTTATGTTTTGTGGACCAAAAATTTGGAATGAACTACCCTACTCAGTGAGATCATTATCATCTGTAGAATGTTTTAAAAATGCCCTAAAGACGTTTTATTTCCAACTAGCTTTTGATAATATTTCTTATATTTGTCCATAATGTCTGAACTGATATGAAAGTGCATAATTTTGGTAACTTCATACAAATATTTGTTCATAAAATCTGAACTGTTAAAAAAGTCCATAATCTTGCTATTTCAACACTAAGTCTCGCTTGAATGACTTTAATGTACATCTTTGTTGGGTATATTTTAATGTCGAAGCGTGTAATAAATGTTAGAATTTATTTATTTATTTATGTGATCAACCCATGCCAGAAACCACATTTATTGACCTTACTCTTTATTGCAGGGTTACTACAGAAACGGACGGTTTTGCTTTCAATTCACGGTATGTGTATTCCTCTGTAATTTTCTCACTTCATATTATATTGCTACATATTATTATATTACTGCATAATATTATTACATATTGTATTATTACATAATATTACTACATATTGTATTACTACATATATTATATTACTACTGTTAGACCTCTGTACATCGGGATTCTCGGTGAAGTAAAAACTGCACAGCATAAAAAACACCCAATGGTTAACATGGCCCTAATCCCCAGTACATGTAACCTGGCCAGCGTCTCATATACCCCATCAGGGGCCTTATGCCCTTATATGGTCGTATTGAGATGGCATACTGGTTTTTAGAGAGGTTTTACTGTAATTGAATAATCTGCGGAAGACAAATTCGATGCTTGTTTGATCGTTGTACATATTATATTATAATATATAATGTATGTTAGCTTGGTATTTAAACTATTTTATTCACTTGATATGTTAAGCTGTTAATTGCAATTCAACGTAAAAATAACGGTTATAAGGTAAACAAGAGCAGCCTTGGCATGATGTGCTAACAAACCCTGGCATACATCTATGATGTACAGTAAAACCCTGTTTTATCGCCCCCACCGCCACGATTTACCGAGGATTTTTTCTTTCTCCCAAACTTCCCGGTAAATCGGGGTACTAATAAAGTTATAAACACTTAGCTAAGGGTTAAAACTTCAGTGTCTCCTAATTAACTGTATACTAATTATCCTAATTAATCGTATACTAATAAATTTAATTTGCAGATCAGCAATAACTACCCACACGAACCTCCCAAAGTAAAGTGTTTGACACAGGTAATTATCTTGAATAATTATGTCTTGTTTAATCAGCCAATAATCGATATTGCTATGCTGTAATTAGTAGTATACAAGTTGAGATAATCTATTCAATGTGGACATGATACAACTTCGTTGTAATGTGCAAGCTGATTATTGATCATTTTAAAAGTGATATGATATTGTTAATCATGTTAAAATAGTCCAAGGATTATGATTAGTTTTTGAAAGTCGAAGTTCAACTTATGCTATTTTACCGTATGAATGATGAACTAATTAAGTAATGAATAGTTCATCAAATCTTGTAATTTGATTAAAGTATCATTTATATCTGCAAGTTTGCTGGCCAAATTAACCCATTATAGCTATTGACACTTATTAAATTAAATGAAAATGTATTTATAACTTCTTATCTTTAAATCGCAGGTTTATCACCCTAATATCGATATGGAAGGAAACGTGTGTCTCAATATCCTAAGGTAAGCACATACCACCACACATACCACCACCACACATACCACACATATTACACATACCAGCATATTTATTACTACACATACCAGTTACCACCGTATCTACATTGTATTTACAAGTATTTGTACATGTTCCACTTTGCATTGATATACGGATATGGCAGATCAGGTTGCATAACTTCTATCACCATAAAAATCATTATCATCAAAAAGTTCCACATCCTAGCAATTACTCTGGATATCAAATCAAATCAAAGTTATTAGTACTGTTACACACTATAAAACTGTAATGATAAATAGTGTAGTGTATAATATGACACACGTAATGGCTTGTTGGTCGCGACATTAATATTTCATGTACATTGCGTAGGTCCTTTGTTATGAACCTCATTACCTGCCTGTGGGTGTAGTGTAGCTCACTGAAAGTAATGCAAGTTAAGTTTTTTGGTAATGCCATCTTTAAAGTAAAATGAGTTTTGGAAAGACGGATTTTAGTACCGTTACTATAACATGTATAATAACTTACTATAATTGTAATTATAATTGTTAAAACAAACATTCCATTGTTTTTCAACAGTCGAATTCGTTTCAGGGAAGATTGGAATCCTATATTAGCTATCAGTTCGGTCATATACGGCCTAATACATCTCTTTTTGGTGAGTTTATTTTTACTTCATATGTAATGAGAGTTACTTTTTGTGGCTTCAAGTGACCACCACTACAATATGTGTTTATTATGAGCTATTATAATTTGCCAGCATTAGTCATTATACAGTTATTACATGTAGTTTCCACGTTTAGCGAGTCAAATTGCCGACTGAAACAGTCGTGACATTAGCTTCAGTCTGTTTTATAAGATTTGTCATTGTTCATGACGTATTAGCAAGCCCCCAACTTCGGATATCTATGCCTATTACGTCATTGGTTGAACTGAACGTCCGTTTCTCGCGATTTCTCGCGATTCTAAAACCTTGCTCATTTCAGGAACCGAACCCAGAAGATCCTCTTAACAAAGGTTTGCAGAGTTGCCTTTTTGACAAGCTAACGAATACATAATGGCGCTATAAATAGATGTATCACATGTTTGGTATCATGCATTCAGGATAATTCGCTTGAAATTGCGCGCACGCGCGGTCTGATTTATAGTGTGAAAAGTGCGGTTTTTCAGCCAACACGCTGGGACGTACCATGGATTTTGTAGAATGTGCACGATGATAACATAACTTTAGGATGGTATTTTGCCAAATACAAAGGCGTAACGAACGGGTACGGTCATATATTATTTTGTGAACAAGGCTCAATAGGCTGTATCACCCTTTTATTGAGAAAAATTACTCAAGTGACAAATTGCCGGTTCTCGTCCATCTCTGCCTTTTCAAAAACTGCAGAGGTGTTTATGTTATACCAGTTATAGGTTGATAAAAACAGATAGGAAGCATAAACTTCTCTAAATAAAATGCATTATTTTAAAGCAGTCCACGCCTGCTGAATAAAACTGGTCGAAAGGGGTCTGTATTCCCCCAAAGTAACGACCCCTGTGTTTTACTCGTTTGTGCATTTAGAACCGCCCAAAGTTACCAGGAAAATATACCAATTTCTTCAAATGCCTGTCATCGCAATTACCAATTAAAGATATTTTATACAGATATGTTATAGTTCGTTGTACATGTTTGCCGTTTTACGCTATTGATTTGACTTACAAATTTGTCGGTGTACACGGTCAAAATCATGCAAACTTTTATTTCAAAAGAAATGTCATTCCACAGTCATTTTACCAAAGCGCAAAAAGAACCAATATGATATTTTACTTTTTGTCTTTAATTATTCTAGTCTCCAATGTAATTTGGAATGATACGAGTGCAGCAATATACTAGCAAAAGACCTTAGTAATTCACTGCTAATTGTATCAATCGGAAATTGAAATGTTTAAGATTTGATACGGTTAAAATCATCCTTCGGTATTCGTCGTGCACATAATAAGCACATACATGTCTATTATCGATTATTTTAAATTTTAAATATTAAAGCGCTGCTCTTATCACTTTATCAGTTGCCCTTAGTACAGTATAATACACATTCTTACTTACCGTAGTAATACCTCCCTTCTATTTCAGAGGCTGCCCAAACACTCCAAAGCAACCGTCGCTTGTTCGAACAGAACGTCGCCAAGTCAATGAGAGGAGGCTATATCGGCCAGATGTACTTCGCTAGAACACTCAGATAAATCTTCTTTACTTTTGACTCGAGACGTCAAAAACATACAATCGAACAAAATGAACATTGTAAATAATTTGAGGTTGATATATGGGACCGGTGGTGGGTGCGAGAGTGGTTTTTGGATCTGTCATATTCGACGATTTGAGAAGTGTTTTAATTTTCTGTAAAGTTTATCATTATGATTTTAGCGTATGGTTGCCATGGTATTTGGTAACCACAGTATTGCCGTAGTAGGTCTAGGTATTTTGTTTGGGTACGGTCAATGAACTTATTCTCGAACAACGGTGATCTGATATTTTCCTCGACGAAACGACTTTAGTTTAGGATTTGTGAATTGTGAGCTAAAATTAATGTACCACCCTTCATCAAAATTGTATTCTGATGATAACGACATTTTTCTGCGGTATTACATCATGAAGTTATTTTGGAGAACTTCATTATAGTATAGCTTTCAAATAATAACAAAGGTTTTAAAAACGTTGAAGCACAAATATCAAATATACAAGCAAGCATATGGGATACATTCAGAAATCCTAAAATGTATCAGTTATTAACAAAAATTAATTAATTAATTAATTAATTGGCGAGTCAGCAAGTTTGCACGAGTTCTCTGATGATAAGATATCCAATTCACACTGTCTTCCATACCATGATACCACTAAACCATTAAAGATTGTGGTTTTAAATCTTCGTATAAAAGGCTGTTCATGGAAACATGAATATTGGATAATCATTCAATGTGAAAGTCTATTAAAATTCCCACAAAATCTTGTCAATAAAACAGCACAAAAGTTTGAGAGTTTCTCTTTCGATGAAGATTTCTTTCAGCGCTCATTTTCCAAGGACAGGTCCTCCTCGGTTAGTATTTACCATACCTATTTTCTCCTTGATCCCCTTAAGAGCTCCTTTAGTTCTTACCAGGACCACCGAAGGGTTGATACAACTGAAAACAGGTCAATTAATTGGCTAATTAGCAGGTCAATTAACATGTATTTGATTGGTTAATTAGCTGATACAAGGTTAGACAGGTGGCTGATATGTCAAATGTTTTAGTAAATATTCTGAACTTATTATATAGTAATTTGATGAATTTTATTTGATAATATTGAGTTTCATTGCGCGCATACCAATCTCCAGTTATGGGTGTTTATAAATTTCAACAAATATTAAAATGTTTGATATTCCCACTGGGACTTACCTATTAAGGCACATTATAATGTAGGTGATCTGACCAAACAGAAGATCCTGTTTCCTGCTAATTCGCTCCTGAACCGGCTGTAAAGGATGAGGGAGGATTTAACAACTATGGAACTAGCTACCAGGTTTGTAATTATTTGATAGAAAAATATTAAATCAAAGTTCAGACCGAGTACGAAGTAACATTCTTGACAGATCGAATGACAGCCCCATTAAAGGGGGTCGCTCAAATATTGCGTAATCACTGAGGGGGGATGGAGGGGGTTTACAAATTATTACTATAGTGTTATTGGATGGGGGTGGGGGCCGGGGGGGGGTTAATATATGCGAGTTCAACATTGAACTTTCAAGTGATCACGTAATATGTGAGCGACTACTAAGTAGACCTTTACCTTGATTAAATGGGCTGTGTTGTACAAGCAGAGAGGAATAAAACAGATCGTGTAAAAGACCGCAATGACCACAAGTGTGTTCGTCACGTGACGGTCCATGGGCCTGTCAGCTAGAACTACTTTCCTGCCCTGGAGTCCTGTCGATTTAGAGTTCTCTAGGATTCTCTGAGATGATGTTAAGTTAGTTCTGTCGCTTAAGAGTTCTCTATGATTATTTGAGATTGGGTTAAAAAGTTCTGTCGCTTTAAAGTTCTTAATGGTTATTTGAGATTGGGTTAAGCAAGTTCTGTCGCTCTATAATTCTCTAGAATTCCCTAAAAGTAGGTTGAGCCAGTTCTCTAGAATTCTCTAAGAGTAAGCGAAGACTGTAGTTCTCCTAAAAAGGATACCCTCGGCCCTCGCATTAATTTGACCATGACAGAAACTGACCTTGAGACTGTAGATCTTGTAGATGATTAGTGCAGCAAACACAGCTACTGAGATGGTCACAGCTGGCAGTTCTATCTCCCTGGTAGGTAATATGACTGTTTCAGGGATTTACAGTTATTGTTTTACATTTTAAAGCGATCCAAGTCATTGTAAGTAAAATTTCTAAGACTAAATTTTGGTCGCTTACCTGTAAACCATAACACAGAGGTCAAAAGAGCTCCTGTTTTCATAGGCACTCTTGAAAATCTGACTGCATACCTAAAAATAGTAGTTTGTGTAATTCAAACAAATCGGTATGACGTTCTCAATCACAAGACTATTTACCGCGAGTTCACCATTGATCTTTCAAGTAGATACGTTCAATCCAGCTGCTAGTGGAAAAGCTTTCAACATATGATATGTATGCGACTAATAAACAATTGCTCAACTTGTATCAAATTATTAAGGTTTGCAGACTGTACACTGTACAGGGGACTACTGTTTAGTGCACAGTGTACAGGGGACTACTGTACACTGTACGGGGGACTACTGTACACTGTACAGGGGACTACTGTACACTGTACATGTGACTACTGTACACTGTACAGGGGACTACTGTACAGTGTACAGTAGTCCCTTCTGTAACTATAACGCGGTTTTGTACAGTGTTATACAGAGGCCGTTATACAGCAGAACACTGTTCTAGCAATATTCTCGCCCTAACTGGAGGATACCACTGTAGAGGAGAACACTGTACTGCTAGCAAGGGAATAACATTCTAGCAAGCACAAACCTTATTGTGAGGGTTGTAAGTGTACTGGTCAGTAGTAGCCACAATGAACACACTCGCTCCTAACGAGTACAGCCAGATCATCACAACCGCCATTACTGGGCCTGTCCTGAAATATTTCCTTGTGTTTGAAATTCATTACAGGTCGTGTTCTAACATGATGCTCAAATGAACATTTCTGATTTAAAAATAAGATTCGTTCTCAATTAATTTTCAGCTTCAAATTGTTTAGCTAAGAGACAAATATGACCAGTTTTTATTGACAATATAGATCTCACTGTTTGCCATAATATATATAATTCTCACCAGTTATTTCTCATACATCTGTAACTGTGCGGCCACCTGACAGCCACATATCTATCAGCAGAGATCAGCAGGACTGTGAACATGGAGGATCGTACTGATATTGTCGTTACTGCGCCGTGAATCTGGGATGATTAGTTAAATAGTTAATTAATCACCGGGTTGATTGATTAATGGAGTAATTAACAAATTAGATAACTCGTTAAAAGTGATTAGATCAAGTTGACAACTCAAGTGGTTAACTTTGATTGTAATCATTGGTAAATCTAAAAATTACCAATTACGGGCGAGAGGTGTTAAAAGAAATAAAAGATATAGGTAAACAATAGAATACATGCTAAAAATACTTTGAGTACAATTAAATAATTGGTGACAAGATATCTGTTTTAAAAATACAGACTACGGTTCAATGAATGGTTTTACATATAATACCTTGCAAATTAGATCTCCGCTGCCGAAGATGGCCCATGGTTCGGTGATCTGAAAAGGAAGCACCAGGATTGCCATCAGGATATCCGACGTCGCTAAGCTGGGGACATCTCGTTATACTTAGTGTTAGCTTAGTCACTTAAGTCACAATTATTACTTAGTGTTGGAGTCCTCGTTATCACAATATGGCAAGCATGGTTTAAGAAATTTAAAATAATCTAAATCTGATAAATTCTTCTTTTATCTTGGCTTGTAAATATCCCAAATCCGATCACAAATTTAGTTTACAATTTATCTATCTATAATTTACAGATAAAAGTAACGAAGAAACTGCAGGTACCTGGTAACGAAGATCCAGGTCACCCCCTTTCGTTTGGTAGTACAGAAGACCATGACATTAGCAAGGAAGATAAAGGCAGCCAACAGCGCCAGAACTGTTGAGAAGAGGTTAACTCCCATCCTACACTCTCATCCTACACTAGTAATAATGTAGGTTTAATAACAAATAATGGCCAGTAACTCAGCTTGTTCACTCTCATCCTACACTGGTAATGTAGGTTTAATAACAAATAATGGCTAGTAATTCAGCTTGTTCACTCTCATCCTACACTAGTAATGTAGGTTTAATAACAAATAATGGCTAGTAATTCAGCTTGTTCAATCTCATCCTACACTAGTAATAATGTAGGTTTAATAACAAATAATGGCTAGTAACTCTCATCCTACACTTGTAAAGTAGGTTTAATAACAAATAATGGCTAGTAACTCAGTTTGTTCACTCTCATCCTACACTAGTAGTAGTTTTAATACTTTCAACACTACTATATAACAAATAATTTGAGCATGAATAAGAAGTTGTTACTTTGAAACGTCGTTTATCCTAACAGTGCAATATCATTTGTCGCAAATCAGAATAATCAGAAACTATTTGGAAAACCCAAAAACTGACTAGTAGTAGTATTAATGTAAGTTTAATAATAAATAATAGTTTATAACTTCCATCTTTAGTTACACTATTGATACTACTTATTTGATAATTTAACCAATAGTTAGTAGCTCAGTTGTTATAAAATTTTAAGTAAATTGAGTTACAAATACATTCAATTTAAGAATAAAGTTTTGCTAATCTATATCGTTCAGCATGTTTTAAAGCATCTTACAAGCTCATACAGTGCTATGCGGATGTTCAGTGTTTACATTGCCAGAATCTCGCAGTTACCTTCAACTTAAACATTAAATAAATCAGTGTAAGCCGCTTCCGCTACACTGTATGGGTATCTGTCAATGAACCTTTATCTTTGTCACAGAAATTAGTGATAAAGCACAAGTCACGCGACGCCTATTAAGTATTAACTTGACGTGGCAGTAGTATTTTGTTACTAATTTTCTATCCAATAGAAGTCAATTAGTTAGCAATTAGCAGTGAGAGTATGTGTCAACCATTCAAATAAGACTCCCGTCTCCCACGACTTGTACAGTCATGATGCGATGTTATTGTTTACGTTGGGCGTAAAAACGCAATGTTTATTTTACGCAGTGCTGCTTGCTGCTTTGATCTAATGGACTCTGAGATGCACCTGTTTTTCACCATTGCAAGGCTTGTTGGATGGTGTTTTAACATTGTGGACCTCCTTTTTATTTTGTATTTTGTTTTTTAAATATATATATTGGTATTTACATATGCCGAACTTTATGTTCCGTCTTCTGTAGCTAATATGTTGGGGTGTATTCATTCCTTGAATTGCTGTTGGTTACATCGAGGAAAATAAAGTTTACTGGTTGATTGGTTAAAGGATTTACACGTCCTGGATAGAAGTGAGGCAGCTTTCAGTTTTATCCCAAGTTCAACCGTTAAATAGTTGAGCATGAAATGATGAACATTAATCGAAATCTAGATGAACATTTGTTAAAATAATCAAATTTAAAAATCAAATAATGATTACCAAAATACAACAAAAATACAAAAAACGATCGGACGCCATCATAAAAATTAAAGAATTAATATCGTCCCAAAAAATACCATAATTATATTTATAGCAGTGGAGAGGGCTGCTTCTCTGATTAGTCTATGTAATAAGCGCCATGAGTTGGCACAGAATTTTTTCTCTCTGATTTTGATAAATTTGGTACCAAAAGTTGCCTCTAAGTGTGAATAATGCAAATTCACCGTGTAGCAAAATAACGTCGAGCTATATGTGGGCCTCCTGTGCATTACAAGAATGTACAAAGGACGAAAAATGGGTAATTTATTGCTTAAAATGCCTATAACTCCTAAAATATTGAATATTTTGAAATAATTATTACAGTATCGTAATGAGCTTAGTCAGACGCAACTTTTGGTACCAAAATTATAATATTTGAAGAACCAAATTTTTCAAAAAATTGTTCAAAATTTGTGTTCAGATTGAAAAATTTTGAAAATAATTTTCCTTTAAATCTTAAAATATTAGTACTAAAAGTTTCGTCTCGATGAGCTGATTACGATGCCATAATAATTATGTGATAATAACTGAAAATGTGAAAGTTATTGGCCAAAAACTAAAAATTTGCGCGAAAAACGCACGCGCGGCGAACAAGCGCCGTGTAGCATTTTTAGCGAAAATTGCTACACGGTGGATTTATTTTATTCACATTTTTAGACAAATTTTGGTACCAAATTTATCGAAATCGGAGAAAAAAAGTTCTGTGCTCGCGCTTGGCGCTTATTACACTGACTAGATGGCTTGTGTCACGTGGAGTGCATAGTCATACTGTCTGGGTCTGGGACTCTACGGCGTAAGACTCTAACCATTAACCTAAACCTAACCCTAACCCTAACCCTAACCCTAACCCTAACCCTAACCCTAACCCTAACCCTAACCCTATTCCCTAACCCTAACCCTAACCCTAACCCTAACCCTAACCCTAACCTTATTCCCTAACCCTAACCCTAACCCTATTCCCTAACCCTAACCCGCCGTAAAGTCTCACGCCGTAGAGTCCGCGGACCCCTGCATAATGCATACCATTGAAAACTACTTCTATTACCAAATGAAGAATATGATTCAAATCCATCTCAGTGTCTGCTTTTTATAGTTAAGTCGTCATGGCGTCGTGCCGTCGTGCATTGGCCTTGACATGAAAATTCGAAGAGTTGTGCAATTTCTAGAGGTCTTGACATGAAAATTCGAATTGTTGTAAAATTTTGACACGCCTTGACAAGATGTAATGATGACTGAGGATTTAATGAGATCTCTGAAAATAGAATTGACATCATTTTGTGAATGAGTTGTTATTCGGGTAAATTATTTAATCTTAAGTACTTGACCACATACGATGTCATGGTGACTGAAGATTTAATAGCTAAGCAGCGCTTTCAATTTTCATGGAAATAGAATTGACATCATTTTATGCAGAAAGAATGAATATTCGGATTAATTTATGGAAATAGAATTGACATCATTTTATGCAGAAAGAATGAATATTCGGATTAATTTAATAGTTAACTTTAATAGATAATACTCAATTTAAAGTTAAACTGGGCTCATTTTATCAGTAGGAAGAGTGATAAGATCCAGATTAAGAAGGAGACGGGGTAAGAATGGAGGATAAAGACCTCTTCTGGGACCAGGACTCTATGTCCCTGCGGAGTGATGCTCTTGTGAACCTGATGAGCAGTGTTAACCAGCTGTATCTCACTATCTGCGGCATCATCGTTCTGTGTGAGTAATTCAACTAATTTCTAATAGAACCACGTGTTAGATCCTGCTGGATAGGCTATAAAGTAACCGCACATAAAATTCATATGAAACAACCATATGCCCTAAATGTTGTTTTTGAAGATTCTCATCAACTTGTTGATTATCAGATTTTGGAGGTAATGAGTAAGGTAGTACATTAGTTCACACATAGCTTAGGGATTATTAAAATATACAGTAGCAATGAACGCTACAAAATGGCAATGCTATCTAATACATGTAGAATTTTAGATGCTCCCGATCAGGGACAAAAGGATTTCGCGGTTATTTTGGCCAAAAATCGCGGCACCGCGACAAGCCAAACTAGGCTAATTCGCGGCTAATTCGCGGCGGGAATTTCGAAAATCGCGGCATATTCGCGGCAAAAAATAATGTATTTACAGTGCTTAGTTAGAGTTCACATATTCTTTGACTATTCTATTTGATCGGCTCATGTCCCATGAGGATGTGATCTCATCATATGATCTGATACAGGCTGATGGGGGTCCATAACAACAAGAGCTGCCATAACTTTTGACATGATCTCAAATGTTGCAATGTCATACGTACTGTAGACATATCTCGTTATCGATACTATATAACTTTCAACAGACGACAGGAGACATCATCATTCGACCATCTACACTTCACAACTATAGCAATGGAATACTACGAACTTTTCAATCCAATTCCCATATCCCTACCTAGTCTATCCCCATCTAGTATCCAACCTCTACCCCTTGAAGCTTACATCAACCTGGACGACATCCTTACCCCGGCCCCTGCACGAACCTTCTAGAAGTTCTAACCAAATCCCGAGGGAAGCCCATGATTGTTCCTTATGTGGTCTACGACGAGATTACATGCTCTACAAAATAGCTTCCCATTGTCAGCATAAAACGATGATTTGCCAAATTCAGCCATTCTCGTGGAAGCTGTTACATTGCCCTGTTTAGCCTGTTTCGAGCGTTTTCTAGACGAAGGTCCAGCCGGTTTGTCGGCAGGCCGTTTGACAAAGTGGTCCATTTTAACAAGCGAATACAATACCAAGCGAATAACGATTACGTTATCGATGACGAAATATCTGACAAGTGACGATTCAATAACAACACTGATTTAACATACTGTTCGATTTCTTAATCCATTGTATGTCTTCTGGTCAACTTTATGTCGTTTGGTCAAGTTTTTTATGTCTACTGGTCAACTTTATGTCGTCTGGTCAACTTTATGTCGTTTGGTCAAGTTTTATATGTCGTTTGGTCAACTTTATGTCGTCTGGTCAAGTTTTATATGTCTACTGGTCAACTTTATGTCGTCTGGTCAAGTTTTATATGTCTACTGGTCAACTTCCATATACGATCTCGGAAGGCAGACCTCCCCTTCGCAATACGAGCTCGGAAGCGGGAGCTCCGCCTTCAGAGGTACGTATTGAGAATGACTCGGACAGAAAATTTTCTAAGTCAAAATTTTTCTGGAAACTACTTTTGTTCATGTTTCATGCTACCCTGATCATTATGAGCCGAAAATATTTTTTCGGTTTTCAAAGGTCACACATACCCTTCGATACACGATTTTGGACTCGAGGGCTCCCCTTGTAATGCGATCTCGGAAGGCAGGCCTCCCCTTCGCAATACGAGCTCGGAAGCGGGAGCTCCGCCTTCAGAGGTACGTATCAAGAATGACTCGGACCGAAAATTTTCTAAGTCAACATTTTTCAAAGTTTTTCTGGAAACTACTTTTCTTTATGTTTCATGCTACCCTGATCATTATGAGCCAAAAATATTTTTTTCGGTTTTCAAAGGTCACACATACCCTTCGATACACGATTTTGGACTCGAGGGCTCCCCTTGTAATGCGATCTCGGAAGGCAGGCCTCCCCTTCGCAATACGAGCTCGGAAGCGGGAGCTCCGCCTTCAGAGGTACGTATCAAGAATGACTCGGACCGAAAATTTTCTAAGTCAACATTTTTCAAAGTTTTTCTGGAAACTACTTTTCTTTATGTTTCATGCTACCCTGATCATTATGAGCCGAAAATATTTTTTTCGGTTTTCAAAGGTCACACATACCCTTCGATACACGATTTTGGACTCGAGGGCTCCCCTTGTAATGCGATCTCGGAAGGC